AGCCAATTTCTCAATAACAACAGCTCCAGTCACTCATCATCTAAAGAATTATATTCCCTTTGATGTTCTTACCATGTTGCCTATCCACATCGTTCAGCCCACATTCGATACTCCTGTCATGCCTCAGTATGAGCAATCTCATTTCTTCCCACAGTTGAAAGAGCCCTTCAGCTGCAGGAGCTTTTTGTCCCATATATTTTCTATCCAGCTGTAAAGATATTATGTTATGGCCAAGGATCACGAAAGACACCGCATTATTTCCCTTTCTCCTCATCTTAACCAGGCCAGGTATCTCGTATCTCTACAATGAACACCCTAGTTAACAATATACAAGTCACATTCAGTACTTCTTCTGTGATACACTGGATCCCCATTACCAAGTTCGAGCATTTCTTAGCCTTAAGAGTAAGTTAATGTTAACTCCAGTTCTGAAGTTCTTTCTTTTTACTGAAGGGTTTACTCTGACTGCTAATGCCAACCAAATTGGAATTAGTGTTATTTTGTCACAGCAGTCTAATGAAAAGTAACAGCGAAACACTTGCTGGCTAATTTCTTTCCGAAGCTGAATGCTACTATTCACTGTCCGAAATGGAAGCTATAGCTATAGATTTTGTTTTAGATCGCTTCAGAGACATTATATATAAGTATCTGATGACTTTGCCAACAAATCCCTTTCAGCTAAACATGTTCATTGATCTTTAATTTCAAAGATTACAATCAAGAGAGCAAAATGTCATCATCACTGCTTTACCTAATCATATCATATTTGTTGATTCACCATGAATGAGCTTCAAACCACACAACATTGCGATTCGACTTGGTCTCCTGTACGCCACTACTTGACCAAGAAGGATAATGATCTATCTACTGTACTTGTGAAAGATTAATTAGTCAACTAAGGGAACCTATGCAGGGTCGACAGTATAGTGTTACCTGACCCACTGTATATATGCTGGTAATCCCCAGGTCCTTAGTACCCACAGTTCTGAAGTTGAGTAATCACGTTCCCGGTGCAAAGTATGCCGATGAAGATCGTAGCATTAAACATGCAAAAATAAAGTACTTCCAATCTTAGACGTCGACGGGAATTTCTAAATACATATAAAATGTGTGATTTGCCTTTGTCACCAAGGTAATGTTATTGGTCTGAAACAGATTTTGTAGTATCCCATCACCTCAGAATCATGGAAAGCAACCAACATATGCTGATCTATTGCCATATTTCTCTTCTTCCAGGAAAATCGACACCTAGTGATGGTTAACAAAGTAACGAGATTCTATGACTTTGTACTGATCCCTAATAAAACTGCCCAGACAGTAATGATAATTTCGCGAGAGTATCATCTTACATCAAACTTAGCCTCATGTGCTCTTCTTAGACAGCAGCATGGAATTCATTAATACGATAAGGGGAAACCTTGGCCCTACATTCATGAGCTTCAGTAGTACTCTCCCACTTGAGCACCGACAACAGAGTTGATTAATGTCTAAACTGTATGGTATTTGGCATTTTCCTTGGCATCACGTGGAATACGGTAATTTCCGACCTCAGTACACCTTCACCTTTTATGCAACGAGTCTTTCGACGAGTATTAAAAAAAACGTGTTTTGATTACAACACGCTGCTGCTGCACAAGTTTTTCTTTTTCATCCAAAGAGTCACACATTTCAGATGATGTTAGCAAAATCCAGATGCATAACATTCAGCTCATAATTAATTTTCACATCAATCGCAAAGCCAAGGGAAGCGCGATCAGGAATTGTTGCAGGGTTTGAAGGTAGAACAATAGCCTGATTCAGATATGTCTAAGCTTCAAGTCAACTTCGTACGTACATAGCATAATTAAACGCTGTCTCAGCAACAAATATGAAGAAAAAGGGAGATTGCGACTGGAATCACAAATCAGCCACATGAGTTTGTGAATAACAGATAGGAAGAAGAAACACTTAATGAAACAGCAGTGAGACAGCATTGTCTGCCTGATACCTCTTTTCTGACTGCTCGACGCCCGCTTCAACTTCTTACATTCCACTTCCACTCTGATGCTAGTGATTCTCATCTTGCTGTCCATCATTCGTATGGCCTTAAGTCCAGACCAACCATACAATGCTCCATCATAAACTTTACCCATGGTGTAGTCTGCGATTTTCATGTGGAATACTCTAACTGTTGACCAGAACTAGGTGCCGTTGCCCACAGGCTATACAGTTTGTCCACTTTAACGTAACATAGATGATGTATATATATTAACGAAAGAGATCGTTTAATTTCCCTCGTCATTTTCCTGCAACGGGCCGACCCAGACAGTAGGTAGCCCAGCTGGTGTAAAACCTCTTCCTCGGGGGCTGCTCCACTCCAACATTTTGCTTATTGCTTTGCTCCTGGCGAGAATCCTGACCTCAGGTAGCGACCTTCCACCACTGCTTGGACCACACAGTCTCATTCTTACCGTGGTCAACGTGGAAGCAACTTCTCTTCCCTAGAACCTCTCATCTTTACCTGGCCAAGATTATTTTAATCATAAGGATCCCAGTTAACCTACAACACGCCACATGATTATTGCTTTATAAACTGTTAACTGCTACCAAGTGTTTCTACTAATATCTGTACCAAAGACTGCACGTGAGTCCATCTCTCACTGATGGACACTGTCAACTTTCAACGATTCTGCCGACGACACATTTGATCTCCAACACCAGACTCAAATTGGTATTCATCGGTAGTACTTGCTTGTGGCTCTTGCCTGATATTGTAATCGCACTGGCTGCAGTGCGATTACATTTAATAATAATACTATCATTTAATAATAATAATAATGATAGTAGAAATAATAATAAAAATAATAACAATATTTTTTTATTAACACATTGGCAGTTTTCCATCAAGGCAGGGTGACCCATAAAGGAAGAAACACTTTCATCATCATTCATTCTATCAGTCTTGCAAGAGGCGTGTCTAAACTACAGTGTAGGCACGCCTGACTTTAGGTGCCTGTCCAGGCACCTATTACGTATTGTGTCGTCTCTTAGTGTACACCTGGCGCCTTTGCTTTTCATTGGGGAAATGTTGCATCTCCTGTCGCGTCTTTTGCTTTTTTAGGGAGTGATTTTCGTGTGCAAGTTTGGTACTAATCCCTCTAGGATTTTCCAAGTGTATATTATCGTGTATCTTTCTCGTTTGCGTTCCAGGGAATACAAATCATGCGACTTCAACTGTTCCCAGTAATTTAGATGCTTTATCATACTTGTGTGTGCTGTTATAGTTCTCTATACATTCTTCAGGTCAGCAATTTCGCCTGCCATGAAGGGGGCAGTTAGTTTATAGCAGTATTCCAGCCTAAAGAGAACAAGCGATTTGAAGAGAATCATCATAGGCTTGGCGTCCCTAGTTTTGAAGGTTCTCATTATCCATACTATTATTTTTCTAGCAGATGAGGTAGATACATTGTTGTGGTCTTTGAAGGTGAGATTCTCTGACACTATCACCCCCAGGTCCTCCACATTTTTTTTCGCTGTATTGTGTGGTTAGAATTTGTTGTATACCCTGATACAGTTTTAATTTCCTCAAGTTTTCCATATCTCAGTAGTTGAAATTTCTCTTCACTGAACATCATATTGTTGTCTGAGGCCCATTTAAAGATTTGGTTGATGTCCGTTTAGAGTTTTGCGGTGTCTTCGATGTAGGACACTGTAATGGCAATTCGGGCGTCATCCACATAAGAAGACAAGGATCTGTGAATTACATTTCTGTCTCTGTCAGATATGAGAGTGAGGAACAGGATGGGAGCGAGTTACTGTGCTTGTGGAACAGACTTTTCACTTTACTCTGTTTACTATTACTTTTTGTGTACTATTTGTTAGGAAGTTATAGATCCATCTACCAACTTTTCCTGTTATTCCTTTATCACGCATTTTGTGCACTATTACACCGTGGTCGCATTTATCAAGGCTTTCGCAATGTCTGTGTATACTACATCTGCATTTTGTTTATCCTCTAAAGCATCCATGACCTTGTCATAGTGGTCCAGTAGCTGGGATAGGCAGGAGCGACCTGCTCTAAACCCGTGTTGCCCTGCGTTGTATAACTGATGGGTATCTAGGCGTTTGACGATCTTGCTTCTTGGAATCCTTTCAAAGATTTTTATAATATGGGATGTTAGCACTATCAGTCTGTAGTTCTTTGCAATTGGTTTATTGCCACTTTTGTGGAGTGGGGCTATGTCTGTTGTTTGTAGTTACTGTGGGATGACCCCTGTGTCTATATTCCCTCTCCATAGAATGCTGAAGGCACGTGACAGGGGCTTCTTGCAGTTCTTGATAAACACAGAGTTCCACAAGTCCGGGCCTGGGTATACCACGCCTGGTATACCATGCACCCGTGAGGCTTACCAGTCCACATACTCATCATGATGATACACAGTCAATCCTAATCATAGATCAACATATTCACCATGATAAGTAAGAATGCATAAAATATAAAGATCCCGACAGCGAGAATATTGTTTTAACTAGTGTAAAAAAAAATATTCTGAATAAGCATTCTTTTTAAGAAAGAAACTAATCATGATAGATAAACATTCTAATCATAATGACCCAGATTATCATGAAGGATAAACATACTTATCATGATGGGTTAACATTCAATAAATATACATATCACGGTAAGTAAACATACTTATCACGCCGTGCAAAGCTCTCTTTTCTTTTTAGGGGTGAACTGTGGCCCTGTTCTGATGCTTTTCTTGCTTGCTTTTTATCTTTCTTTGCGTCCTGACCCACGTCAACAGCACCCGCTGGCTCCTCCTCCTGCTCTTCAAACTCCTCACCATATATCTGAAAAGAATAAGAAAACGTATCAGAAAGTTTATTTTGAGCTTGTAAGATCTTCAGTAAGTAGGGTCTTTGGCAAGTGTATTAATAAATAATCAAGTACATAAGTAAGTAATTAGACAAGCAAGAAAGCAAGTAATCTTAATTTATGCGTTTGGTATGACAATTGTCTGACATAGCAACACAATGCCTAGGAAAACTTTTGCAAGTTTTTTTTTTTTTTACCAAGTGTTTAACATGATTTATTACCACTCTGACCTTAACTCCAGCTGCTTCATCTCACCTCTATCCTGCCTGTTTTAGGCGTGAGGGACTGACCACCTCTCTCTCTCTCCGAGGGTGACGGACTGGTCACGTCTATACTAATTATACTGCCTCCAGTGCTCTGTTCACCTGAAAAAGCACTAAAAGCTCTCTTCACCTGATAGAGCACTGAAAGCTCTCTTCACCTGATAGAGCACTGAAAGCTCTCTTCACCTGATAGAGCACTGAAAGCTCGCTTCACCTGATAAAGCACTGAAAGCTCTCTTCACCTGATAGAGCACTGAAAGCTCTATTCCCCTGATAGAACACTAAAGGCTCTATTCACCTGATAGAGCACTGAAAGCTCTATTCACCTGATGGAGCAGTGAAAGCTTTGTTCACTTGGTAGAGCATTGAAAGCTCTATTCCCATGATAGAACACTGAAAGCTCCATTTAGTTGATAGAGCACTCTAAGCTCTATTCCCCTGATAGAACACTAAAGGCTCTATTCACCTGATAGAGCACTGAAAGCTTTATTCACCTGATGGAGCAGTGAAAGCTTTGTTCACTTGGTAGAGCACTGAAAGCTCTATTTCCATGACAGAACACTGAAAGCTCTATTCACTTGATAGAGCACTGAAAGCTTTATTCACTAGATAGAGCACTGAAAGCCCTATTCACCTGATGGAGCACTGAAAGCTCTATTTCCATGACAGAACACTGAAAGCTCTATTCACCTGATGGAGCACTGAAAGCTCTATTCACCTTACATCCATTTGTTACAAATGCGTCTAGTTCGTCAACTTGTCGGTGTTGTAAATCATCTATAATGTAACATATATTTGTGTGTGTATGCATGAATACATATGTAACATGTCCGTATGTGTACATATATGTTGGTGGAAACGTTCAGTATGTGTATGTACGCATATGCAGATGCATGCATGTGGAAATTTAAACCTGCATGTATGTTTGTGCAATTGCAAATTTATGTGTGTGTATGTATGTGTGTTCATGTAGTTGCATTGAAATGCATGTGTGTGTATGAATGTATTGGTATATGTGTCTATTATTATTATTATTAAAGATTCGCAGGTATTCTCCCGGCCCGGGCCTTTGCCAAGTGGTGGCCCGGCCTTGGCTCCCTCTTTAGGGAGTGTCTGAGACCTAAGTCTCCCATGGGAGGAGGCACAAGTGCCTCCTCATCTTTGGGACCAACTGTCCCCAGACCTAGCCACAAGCTAGGTCTCTCTGGTCTGCCATCCCCGCCACAAGGGGGCTAATTAGAATGACAGTCTTGTGAGCTGAGAGCTCGGGCTCAGGCATCTACCCTACCCTAGAAGGGCTGGGCATGATGTCGATGATGTGTCTATGTGTTTATGTAAAGTAAAAGGACACAAGTGCAACTAATGTGACATTTATTGTGGCAACGTTTCGCTCTCCAGGAGCTTTATCAAGCCAGGAGCTTGATAAAGCTCCTGGAGAGCGAAACGTTGCCACAATAAATGTCACATTAGTTGCACTTGTGTCCTTTTACTTTACATATTGTCGGTAATTCTACCAACTTTATTCTATGTGTTTATGTATAAACCTTTGCATATATCTGTGTTTGTATGTATGCAATGGATGTTTGAATTTGTAAATATATATATATATATATATATATATATATATATATATATATATATATATATATATATATATATATATATATATATATATATAGACAAAACATTCACAACAATACAATAGAAAGTAAAACTACCTAGATAACAACTCAGAGCTACATCTCGAATACTTCGTCCAGCTCCCCTGCGGTGGGCCGCGTGACCAGAATGCTGCAGGCATTTCCTCTCTGGATCGCGACACTGAGTCTCTAAAAGAGGAAGCTGGTCGCCCTGTGGTCCTTGGTTTCTATGATGAGCTTTTCACCAAGCTCTTTGAGGAACTTTAGAGCACACTTGCCCCATGCTCCAAGGGTCTCTGACCCTAATGAGATGAAGTTATAACAAGAGGGAAGGTCTTCATATTTGCAGATCTTCTGGGTCTCCCTGTGGCTGGCAGCTCCACCCCCTTCCACTACGGAGTATGGCAAGTAGGTGTCTGCCAATGTGGCGGCACAGGTGTAGTCCCTGGCAATCTGCTTTCCATCCTTCCGGGGTAGCATAGTGGCTCCATCAAGACGCTTTTGACTTCGTCAGACCTCTGCACTTGGGGTTCCCGTTGAGCTGGGCAACGGGCTGTGGCGAGGCTTCTCTTTATGATGTCATTGACCTCCTCATGTCTGGCATACATCCCTTCTGCTGTGTGACACACGAGACCATGAAGTCCGAATTGATCAGCCGTCGCCCTTCCGCAAATACACCTATGTTCGGTGAGGATGGCGAAGAGCAACAATATATATGGATGTATTTGTATGTATGTATGTATGTATGTATGTATGTATGTATGTATGTATGTATGTATGTATGTATGTATGTATGTATGTATGTATGTATGTATGTATGTATGTATGTATGTATGTATGTATGAATGTATGTATGAATGTATGTATGTATGTATGTATGTATGTATGTATGTATGTATGTATGTATGTATGTATGTATGTATGTAATGATGTATGTATGTATGTATGTATGTATGTATGTATGTATGTATGTATGAATGTATGTATGAATGTATGTATGTATGTATGTATGTATGTATGTATGTATGTATGTATGTATGTATGTATGTATGTATGTAATGATGTATGTATGTATGTATGTATGTATGTATGTATGTATGTATGTATGTATGAATGCATGTATATATGTATGTATGTATGTGTAGATCATAAGAACAAATTCGCCGATGACACGAAGATAGGTAGGAAAATTGATTCAAACGTAGATGTTAGGGAACTTCAGGAGGATTTAGACAAACTCTACTCTTGGTCAGAAAAGTGGCAGATGCAGTTCAATGTAGATAAATGCAAGGTTCTGAAGCTCGGGAGTGTCCATAACCCTAGCACTTATAAATTAAATAATGTAGAACTTAGCCATACAGATTGCGAAAAGGACTTGGGGGTTATGGTAAGCAGCAACCTTAAACCAAGACAGCAATGCCTAAGCGTACGTAATAAGGCAAATAGATTACTGGGATTTATATCAAGAAGTGTAAGCAACAGAAATCCAGAGGTCATACTGCAGCTTTATACATCATTAGTAAGGCCTCACCTAGATTATGCAGCTCAATTCTGGTCTCCATATTACAGAATGGACATAAATTCGTTAGAAAACATTCAGCGTAGGATGACTAAATTAATACATAGCATTAGAAATCTTCCTTATGAAGAAAGATTGAAGACTCTTAAGTTACATTCACTTGTTAGACGAAGAATGAGGGGAGACCTGATCGAAGTGTATAAGTGGAAGATAGGTATTAATAAAGGGGATATTAACAAGGTCTTGAGGATATCTCTCCAAGAGAGAACCCGCAGTAATGGATTTAAATTGGATAAGTTTAGATTTAGAAAGGACATAGGAAAGTATTGGTTTGGAAATAGGGTAGTTGATGAGTGGAACAGTCTACCTAGTTGGGTTATTGAGGCTGGGACTTTGGGTAGTTTCAAATTTAGGTTGGATAAGTACATGAGTGGGAGGGTAATAAATGGTATAAAATACCGACACAATGGAAATATAAACACAAATGCAGTATAATGTGATCCTTTATTGACAACGTTTCACCCACACAGTGGGCTTTCTCAAGTCACACACGGATCTGTGTGTGACTTGAGAAAGCCCACTGTGTGGGTGAAACGTTGTCAATAAAGGATCACATTATACTGCATTTGTGTTTATATTTCCATGAGTGGGAGGGGTTGGATTTGAGTGGGACTTGCACATCGGAGCTTGTTTCTTGGGTGGCATTGAAAATTGGGTTCGTCAAATGTTTGTTAGTGGGATGAATTGTAAAGGACCTGCCTAGTATGGGCCAACAGGCCTGCTGCAGTGTTCCTCCTTTCTTATGTTCTTATGTTAACATAAGAAAGGAGGAACACTGCAGGAGGCCTGCTGGCCCATACTAGGCAGGTCCTTTACAATTCATCCCACTAACAAAACATTTGCCCAACCCAATTTTCAATGCCACCCAAGAAATAAGCTCTGATGTGAAAGTCCCACTCAAATCCAACCCCTCCCACTCATGTACTTATCCAACCTAGATTTGAAACTACCCAAAGTCCCAGCCTCAGTGGTGACGTGTACTTAGAGTGGTGACGTGTACTTAGCTTCAGTGGTGACGTGTACTTAGCTCCAGTGGTGACGTGTACTTAGCTCAGTGGTGACGTGGAAACTTAGCTCAGTGGTGACTTTTGTATTTTGCTTCAGGGGTGACGTGAATTAGCTTGAGGGGTTGACGTGTACAAAAGTCATTGGTGACTTGTATTAGTCGGGGGGGAAACTTTGTACTTAGTCAGTGGGACGTGAAATTAGCTCGGGGTGACGTATTATTAGCTCAGTGGTGACGTGTATTTTAGGGGGTGACTGTACTTACTCGTGGTGACTTTGTATTACTCATTGGGGGAAACGTGTACTTAGTTTCTTGGAAACCCTTTTTGTGTGCTCCTGTAAATTGAACCGGGATGCCCTCCTTGAGCAGTTTAAACCAGCAGTTTGAGAGAAAAACCCAAAAGGTTGCTAAACTGGGATCCCGGGGGTTTAAACGGAGGAAAAAACAAGGGTTCGTAGTAATCCCCCCTGTTTGTGAGTCCCCGGGT